CCAACTTTCTCTATATAACATCTAGATCATAATTCACCACATTCCTCTTCATCTCGAGTTTCGCATACTTTTTTTTCGACAAGAAGTTTCCGTTTCGAACATAGTTACAATCAAAAGATTTTCTTCTAGCTAGTAAAAAAGGAGAGTGAGGCAATTGTCACTTTCCATCTTCATCAATGGCTTTCTATGACCCAAACATGTTTGAAGTGAATGTGTTATTGGTTGATCATGACATGAATTCCCTTTATGAGACCACTAGATTGCTACAGTTCAACTCATACAAAGGTATATAATCTCAAAGGTTTTTTAACTATTTATTCTCTAAAAGAAACATAAGTTCTTTTAGGTTGATTTTGATCTCATAAAATGAGAAATTGTTGGATCCATGATTGCAATGGGATTGTTTTGATTAGACAATTTAATTCTCATCATTTTCATCATGAACCAAGCATGAATCTATATATTTATGTTTGTTATTCAATGAAGTTTTATTTTACTTTTCCTTAATCTAATCAAAGAAGAGACATATATAGGCCTATTTCCTCATCTGTTATTTATCTTATCATTGATGATTCATTTTGGAAGCCGATCCTTGAAAAAATTGCACATCAAATGTTAAAAAGAAAAAAAAAAAATAGAGAATAAAATATGTTCATCTTGGGAATCATGCATGAATAATTTTTCAAGAATCAATTTATATAGCAATTTTCGATCGTTCATTAATTCACGATTTTACTTAAATATATATAGCGTATTATTCAAAAGTAGATCGCGTAATTTCCCTTCGGANGATAATTTGTATTAATTTACTTTAATTAAGGCATTTCTAAACCTTCTTGTTAATTATCTTCACTAATTATTTTTCAACCATTCCTTTTTTTTTCTTTTCTTTTTTTAATCTTTCATGACACACTTTTTTCCTATATGTACATGGGAATAGGAAATGGATATATGTGGTTGTTAAGTCATATAAATGTTTCTACACACAAGGTGAATCAGTAAGATTAATATGCCTGATTAGCATAAACTCACTCTTATATTTAATCACGGATTTTCTCTGTTTTTTAATGTCAAAATGTATTGTATATGTTAATCAGACGTTAAACACCAAGTAGTTCCTGCTGGTTCACAATTTATATGGTTCATATTTCTATATTCATCTCCCATAAATTTAGAAGGGAACTTCAACTTCATTTGCTTCACCACATGAAAATGATGAAGCAAATATATTTTCATTTGGAGCTTCACTTTGTAGTATTTTCAACACCTTTATAAGCTTATTATCTTTCATAGAAAATATCAAAATGCGAAATAAAAGAAACAGAAAAATTTAACATTGCTCGATCTCACTAACTGAGTTTCATATTTATTAATAATGTTAATTATATTGCCCCATCTATGCCTTCTTCTTTCTTTATATATAGCTCATTTGAAATATCTTTCTCTCAATTATTCTATTCTTAGCTATAAAAAAACTAGGAAAATTTTGAAAAAATTTAAATCATCTCTATCAACTTCACCAATTATCCACAATCCTATGAAAGTCCTGTTGAAGCTTTGAAAATGTTCACAAAAAACTCATTCATGAAACAACAAGATTCAACCTTCTATTTTCGTAAAAACAGTAACGAACGATAACATCTCTCATAAATTTTGTACTATTTTTTTGTCGCATTATTCGCTTTTTTCCCGCTTCCATCAATGCCTAACACTCTTTTTTTTTTCTTTTTTTTTTTCCAGTTACACCGGTTCAAGATGCTTGCATTGCTTCATCAATGTTGTCTCAAGGCACCACAAATTTCAATGTCGTGATGTTGCACGTGCAGCCGTCTAATTTAGAAGGATTTAACCTTATGCACAAGGCCATTAGCATGGACTTGCCCGTAATCGGTAAGTCTATCCACTTTTTTCCAATCAGACAATCGAACAGTAATCATTAAATTTTTCCCTTTTGCATAAGTATTTAATAATACTTAGTCTTTTGTCCTGTTTCAAGTGATGTCGACTAATGCTACATCGACACTTGTAAAGTGCGCCATAGAAGACGGAGCTTTCCTTTTCATGCAAACACCGCTTGTTCAAGAAGAGTTGAATTACCTATGGCAACATTTATTGAGGGAAATTACGCGAAAAAATAACGAGAAGGGAAAAAAATCGCTAGTAGAAAATATAGTACCGGTTGAAAATAAGGTAAACGGTCAAAGTGGAAGGCGCGAGTTTTTCAGCTTGAGCTCGGAAAATAACGATAATGTTGAAAATAATGTTGTGGCTGGTCAGAATATGAGCATGAAGCCTAAGATGTGCACTGAGTGGACTCCAGAGCTTCATGACAAATTCATGGCTGCTGTAAAGATACTTGGTGATGGAAGTATGTAATTTTGCGGATATAATACATTTATTGTCTTTATAATTTTTGCGCTTTCTTTTATTTGTTATTTTTCAATTTTTATTTAATGTGGTATATATGGAAAATTAGGATGTTTTCCTAAGGACATTCTAGAGCTGATGAATGTGCCGGGACTAACGAGAATGCAAGTTGCCAGCCATTTACAGGTTCGACCGATAAAATGCCGAGCTAGTTTAGTCTGTTTTGTATTTTCGACAGAATGTTATTTTTTATTTACTTAATTTTTTTTTTTTTTCAGAAGTGCCGGCATGGATGGCAGCCCTCGAGCCAGAGGCAGCAAGGTTCCCGCCAGAAAGCTCCGAAATCTGCTAATCCGAACCCAAACAGGCGAAAGAAGTACGGAATATATCCGCGTTTTATGAGAGGCTCTCAACCTCAATTCCCTCCTAAAAACGACCAAAATAACGTGGAAATTACTAGCAATGACAACATGGAAAATCCTATAATCGCGCCAAATTCGGATGGTACAAAAAATATGGGTCATCAGCAGGGGGAATGGGTCGATGTTACCTTTCAAAACAACAACAACAATAAGGCGAAGGAAATATTTTCGAATGAAACTATCATCAATGGACATATGATGATGGTCGAGCCTGAGGACTCGTTCGACTATGCAGTTAGTGACGATGGCCTTATTGCTAACTTTAACTTGAACGAGTGTGATTTGGACCGAGCTATTCTTGCCCAGGTTAGTCATTTTAGTCCTGAGGAAAATTTATTTGTCCGAAAATCGCGTTTTATAAGTGCTTTTTTTTTTTTTCTCTCTTTTTTGTTTTAAATGGCAGAGTTATGATATTACTGGTGTCACTGCTCCTACTATTGTTGTTGCTGCTAATGGTGCTAATATTGCTGCTATGGACACCGGTTTTTGGAGTTCGTGGTTTACACACTTTTCAAAGGAGCTTTGAAGCAAAAGACTTGCTTGGGAAAGGAAATGGAGACGAAATTTTATGAATTATGAATATTTATATATAATGTAATGATGATAAATGTAATATTATAGGACTCGAGTATTTTGCAGATGCTACTGCTAGATAAATGCACCAGGGTTGCATTTTTTTCTTGGGAAATTACTAAACTAATAATCGTACAACATATGTACGGTTATTATATATTCTGGAGTACTCTTCATGGATGTAGATTGATTGTGGGAATAAGCTTCTTAATGATCAAGAAGATAGGAACTTAGGTTTCTGTCACATATATATGTAGTGAACATATTACAAGAAGTTTGTGTTTGTAGTGATATGATTGTGGTCAAATAAATGTAAAAGTATTTATAATAAGTTCCTAAGTTCTTACATTACATAATATTTATTCATCAACCATGAGAAATACATTTATGCTGTCAAACCTTGGAGAGGGAGAGAAAGGGAGAGAAAGAGAGAGAGAGAGAGAGAGAGATTTTACAGCAATTTCCCAATTTTATGTAGGAAAGTGACTCAGAATTATCACTTTTTCTTATATGCAGAGTTATATATTGTGAAATGTGACTCTTTAGGCCAAAACTGCATTTTTTACCTTAACACTTGCAAGCTGCTGAGGTAAAGACTTGCAGTAAAACCAGTTAAGCCTATGGTAACATGCAAATGAAGTGCAATCTTTCTGTAAAAGGATATGATTGCAACTGACAGTAAATTTAAATGATCCATTGAAGTATGAACACAATGACCCAAACGATTTCATACATTCATCATACATATTCAAGCCATCTGACTTATGTTCATGTCAGGTGTATAAATTATATTGATAAAACAAAACAAGCGGTAAATCCTAAGTTTGAATTTGAGTTGGACCACATAATGAATTTCCTTTTCCTCAACAACTTTACGACCTAGTCAAGATGGCTATGGATTCCCACTCCAAACTGCATATCACATCCTGAAGGAAAAACATTTTGTTTATAAATATCATTAGCTATGTAGAAGAAAAGAACAAAAGAAAACTAACAAGATATACCAGGTTAGATTCCATCAAATGGTAATGAAAAGAGAGAGAAAAAAACTGAACCCTCAGATTTCCCCGAAACAATAAAAAGTATACGTACCGACGGGTTTTGTCTGTCGATATCAAAGCTATTTATTGCACAAGGCTCGGCCAATAGCTCTATTGGTTCTTCACCTAATTATAATGAGAAAAATAGTGATCACTAACAAATATTACTTACAGAGATTTAACCTATCAAACATACATATAGCCCTGGTAAGAACATAATTCGTAAGATGGTTGAAGGCCAATGTAGTAAGGTAAAAGCTCGGTGGTAAAAAAGAATATTTATTAAACAACCCATTAACATTTGGAAATAAAAAAAAAATAAAAAAAAAATATACAGGCAGCAAGAATGGTGTACTGCACCTTGCTCGATTACGGCAAGGATCCCATCCTCTGAACAAATCATAGCAGGCAGAATCCGAGAAGAAGAAGATGATGAGTTAACAATCTTTGAGGAATGTGTATAGTTGTCATACTGGACTTCCCAAATATCACTTTCCACTATCGAATTTGCATTTGTATCACTAAAACCGACCCCGGATAGCAAAACCGGCTGTTTTGGCCAACGAGTGTCCCAAGCAAATACTACACCAGAAGAGCCTCCTGCCTTCACATACACAGCAAAAGATATAAGTGAAAACCAACAGAGAAGGGGGGGAGATTAACAGAGAAGAGTCTCAAAGAGGCGGGTTTATATTATATTATGAATGAAACAGAACTTTACAAAAGAAGTATCTTACAAGGCACGTGTGTTTTCGTGATGGATGAATGTCAATGGAGTGAACAATGCCTGAAGCTGATTCTCTCGTCCTGTCAGTATTATCAGGGAATAACATGTTTCAACCAAAGGTAATAAATCTTCAAAGGGAGTGGTTAATAAAACCACAGAAAGCTTCATATTAGGTACAAGCACGCACATGTACAGCTCTAAGCTTCAGATAACAAGTACAGGCAGAGAGAGAGAACAAAAGAGAGCATCTACAGCTCCAGATAAACGAATGAAGCACTGGGAATTGGTAATGACGACCTGTTAATACACATATTTGCAATCTACAAACATCATACTGCTTTTATGCTATGTTTCTTTGCAGCCATAATGCTGGTAGAATTTGAAAACTTGGTCAAACCCATGATGTGAAACAAAAGAAAGAAATATTCAGATTAATGGTCAAGAGACTTTAAAACCAGAAAATGCCAACTCCAAATGCACAAGGGACAACAATCCATGTAAGCAAACTCAATCCCTGAGCTTTTTGGACCAAATTAAGTAACATCTCAACAGTATTGCACAATGGAAAAATGAGTATTGAATTAGAAGGTGTTAATATATTACATGAAAGATGAAAATACGAGCATTAATCCCTAAGTTTTGTTTAAAGAAGTGAATTCCTCACAACTGACCTTTCTAATCCATAAGCAATAATCAAGAATGCTAATCTACAACTAAAGCAACAAAAATGTTGAAAAGAAGTAATCATGTGCTTCTAAAACAACACATGAACTTTTCCTCTAACTGAAAATCAATTCCAAGAGTAAGCATTACCAATTGTTCTTAAACAAAGCCACTGGTCCACCCGACTTCCTCTGATCCCACCAATGAAGACCGAATCCAAAAGCACCAGTCACAAACTCCACAGGCGAAGCCCACTTAACCGCACTGTACGAAACCAAACCATTACTGTCAAAAACCCTCTTGAAACCAACCTTGGAAGACAAATTGACCAAATTGACCCTCCCATCCTCCCCAACGCTCACACACTCCGACCCATTCTCGTTCAAATCAATCCCCGATACGGCGCCCGAATGAAAACCCTTTTCCGGCACCGAGAACTCGCAATCCAAGGACCCGTTTATCAAATCTGCGGAGTAGAAGAGGACCGTGCCGGAAAAGGTGGCGGCGGCGACCAGGGGTTTGGAGGGGGTTAAGGGGGAGGAGGAGATTTTCAAGGAGGCGATTCTAGAAGGGGCGGTGGCGGAGGCTTGTGGGGTGAGGGAAGGATCATTTTGGGAAGGGGAGAAGGCAAGGGTTTGGAGGGAAGGGGTGGAGGTGTCGGCGTCGTAGGCGGCGAGGAGGATGTGGCGGGTGAATGTGGAGAGGTGCGGCAGCCACCGGAGGGCGTCGATGTACGTGTACTGCGGGAGCTTGTGGATTTGAGTGGCGGAAGGGTCCGGGCGTGGGATGAGCGCCATTGTTGAGGGGTTGAGGTCAAAGAGTTTGGGGGGTTTTTGCGTCTGGGTACGGGTTTTGGTGAGAGAGAAGGTGGAGTTACATCATGTATATGTTAGGCTTGCCACGACAAACGAGTCGAGTCGAGTCGAGTCGAGTCGAGTCGAGTATGAGTTCGAGATCTTAAATCGAGTTCGACTCATTAACTTACGAACCAATAAGCAAGCTCAAGGTCGACAGGTTATTAATGGCTCGTTCATCAATTTTAACAAGTCGAGATCGAAGCCAAATGAATCAAACACAAGCTTTAACAAACTAGACAATAAAAAATTATATAAAAATTTATTTTTTTAAAGCTTTAACAAGCCGAATCAAACCCAACTCGTTAACTAAACGAGCCAGACTCATTTCATTTAATAGAAGCTTATGGATGCCAAGATGAAATCAATACTGCAAATCTAATATGAGAACTATCATGTTATGCAACATAAAAACTAATTATACTGTCACACTAAAAGTCAACCTTCTTCTCCCAAGACATGAGCCCCATTTTCTTTTCTTTCAAACATCTAAAAACTCAAATTCTGCTGTATCTAAACAAAGAGGAGCTAAGTCCATCAACCAACCAAAAAACCCTCCTCACCGAACACATCATCCCGGGCTTGGACCGGCCCACTATCATCACTGTCCGAGCCAGAGCNATAACAAACACCACCAGACTAGTCTCCTACAACACACATTCTTGTTTGATTTCTAACATAAATCACACAAAACCTCCATATGTGAATTCTCCTTTTGCTAAGAAAAATGATTCCTCAGAAAATTCAACCTACAAACAAAACAAACCCACTTTTCCATTGAGTTTGTTCAGCACTAAGAAGATCCTCATTCAGTCTGCTGTTGGAGTTTTTTCACTTGGATTCATTGATGCTGGGTACTTTATAATTTTTTGTCCCTTATAAAGATGCTCTAAAATTGAGTAGTTTAATCATTTTTTAACCCAATTATTTTTTCTGGTTTATTTGCTATATGTTTAGGTACAGTGGAGACTGGTCAAGAATTGGTGTGATTTCAAGAGGCACAGAGGATCTGCTCAAGACTGCAGCTTTTTTAGTTGTCCCCTTTTGCATTTATGTGATATTTCTTATCTCTAAGGAAACAAATCATGAAGAATGAAAAATTATAACAGTTATCTTCATTTGCAATTTTTCATGATTTTGGGAATTGAGAATCACATATTATTGTATGAGGCGGCAAAATCATTTGAGAATGTTTATCAGTCTGAAAAATTTATAGCCACATAGTTCATCATATATGTGTATGTACAAATTTGCTGCAGTTCAATATTTATTTCCTTTCATTTTAATGAAGAACTTGTTCCGAAAACGATCCTCTTGATTGACAAACCAATAAAAGAACATAAAAAAATTATTCCAGTTCTTTTCTTCAGTGATCATAACTAAACTAACTAATCTACGTCGAATAACATAATCGAATGTGATTAAATTGAACGACGTTTATCTTATCCTGTGAAAGCAATGCACATGACATGAATCATATGGTTTTCAGAAAAAAACACTTGTGATTAGGATTCAACCCGTGTTTGTTTATCCGACACAATTCATATAAAAAAGACACGAAAAAGGGTAATGAAAATAGAAAAGTCATTTTTCCTTTCTCCATCAAACAAAGACATAAACAAACAATCAACATATACTTATTAATTTGTTTTCATGAGCAAAACAAAGCGCGCAAAAACCTATCACTCTTTTTATCTTCTGATGATTAGCCACCACAATCTTATCCCATGAGCAAAGCCATAAACATCATTACCATTCTTTTAATGTGTTTTCTATAAGAAAAAATAGCGTAAAATGTTGAAAAAAGAAAAAGAAAATGATGCTTTTAAAACAGCTCAACATTATCTAGCTCTTTCTTGTGGAAAATAAACCAAGATTGAGACAAAGAAGGGGAGATAAAGAAATGAGAGGTCACAAATTGCTTATATGTACACATATTAACAAAAAAAACACAAAAGGGTTTGTGGGATATATGATATTGCACATTACCTTATCCTATCCAACTCTCATTTTTCTTTTTTCAACATCCTCTCAAAATTCACAAAACAGAGGAAAAAAGAAAAAAAAAAAAAAAA